TTTGAGGTACAAATTTAGAATTATCTACGTTGTTTGTGGGGTTGAGAAGTTCTTGAAAATATTTTGCTCAACTTGCCAACCAGGTTTGGGCTAAATATATGTATGCCTCTCTTGTTGTTGATGATAGCTGTTGGCTTGTAGCCTATGTCTCTTTCTCTTATGATTTTGTTGTGGTTGTAAATTTATATATCTATCTAGAGGAGTTCTTGCTGAGGGTAGCCATCTGTTCTCCATAATTTCCCCATGACTCGTCTTTAGACGCTTTGATATTTCGTTGTGCTTCTTTTCTTTCCTAATCTATAATGTTGGGATTTGATTTTGATTAAAGCGATAGTTAGTTTGTGTAACATATTTCCTTCCCGTGTCATCTGCACTCAATGCATCTTTTCCTACAAAAGAAAAAATGTTTGTCTATCGACACTGCCCCCGTTTGGTACGCAAATCTTTTCATAAATTTAAACCTCGGAGCGAGTTTCCTAATGATAGTATCTCCATTCGGCCTCGAGGTCTTTTGTGGTTTATGGACGGAAATAAAATGACAGGGTAATCTCTAAAATGTTTATTGTAACTGCTTTCAGCTGTTAGTATAGTTTTACAACCAGTGACATCAAATACAAAGACACACCCCAAAAAAAAAAAAAAAATAAGCCACACAGTAAGTTAACAGGTCATTAATTTCTACATCAATAGATTACATTTTAACAACCACACACGAAGAAAATTGCCAAATCAAGTGTAACATTGTATTCACTTCACATCAAAAGCTCTAGATTGAATTCTTCACAGTCATCCTCACTGAAACCAGTGGAAGATGTAGCATAAACCTTTTCGGATGTAAAATCTGTAAGCATTTTCTCAGGTGAAATGAAGTCTTTGCAACATTTCTTTGATATCAACAGTTCTGTTCTAATTCTGACAACTGCATCTAGAAAATCCAGTCGTATTTTGCTTCTTGCTTTTGATTTAGTTGAAGTAACAAGAGAGAATATTCTCTCAACTACAGCATTGCTAACAGGCAATATTAATCAAGTAAGGGCGAAAGTGGCCAACTCTTTAAATGCCTGGTGTTAAGTACGCCTATCCAAAAATCTTCACTGTTTGTAGGTAGTCCATCCTTCTTAAATGTAGCTTCTTCTTTTCAGTTGACAACAATCAGTTTTCTGTACTGCTCTTCTATAATACCAATGTTGATTTCTGGCAGGTGTAAAAATGGTAGCTCTGAAAACTGTGTCCTTGATATTTGATTTAAAACTGCCAAAGTTTACAATGTAAATTAAAATAAATTACAGAGGTTTATAGCAGTCACGATCCGATTAGGAAGACAACAAAACAATAAGAAATTGGTGCGAATCTCCGTTAGTCCGTACCAGGACATCACAACAAAGTCAAACTGAAATAAAGATTTTAACTGTAGGTCTACATTGCTTTTAGTAAAGTTGCGTGTTTCTAACAGAGGAACCATGAAGAAAATGTGAGCACATCTTGATAAGAAATGCCAGGAAAAACCCAAATATGCCAGAATTTGCCAGTTCATTATCTTATGCCAGTTCAATTTCAAATATGCCAGATTTGTGGAATTGGCATAAAAAATGCCAATATGGCATGCCTGCCGGCGGGACGGGTTCGATCGTAGCTGCGGGCCTTACGCTTTGAATAGAAAAACCACAACAGCAAAAAATGCTGAGACTGGTTCTGCAACGTCCTGTAAGGGATACGCAACTAACTAACAGTCGTTTTAAGAGTTCAACATTTGTTTTGTTGTTTTGTGGTTGCTGTTGCTGCTATCTTTTATACTGTTGCTGCTGCCGTGTTGTTGCTATTATTACTGCCGCTGTGTTGTTCTATCTGCTGTTGTCTTTAATGATGTTTCTGCTGTTGTTGCTGCTATGTTATTCTAGCTGCTGATGTGTTTAATGTTGTTGGTGTTGCCGTTGTGCGGCTGATGTATATTGCTATAGCTGCTGCTGCGTTGTTCTAGCGGCTGCCATGGTTAATGGTGTTGCTATTGCTATTGCTGCTGCTTGTGTGCTACTGCTGTGTTGTTCTTGCCGCTGCTATGTTGTTCTAGCTGCTGCTGTGATGTTCTTGCCGCTGCTATGTTGTTCTAGCTGCTGCTGTGTTGTTCTAGCTGCTGCTGTGTTGTTCTTGCCGCTGCTGTGTTGCTCTAGTTGCTGCTGTGTTATTCTATCTGCTGCTGTTTTGTTCTAGCTGCTGCTGTTTTGTTTTAGCTGCTGCTGTGTTGTTCTGGCTGCTGCTGTGTTGTTCTGGCTGCTGCTGTGTTGTTCTAGCTGCTGCTGTGTTGTTTTAGCTGCTGCTATGTTGTTCTAGCTGCTGCTATGTTGTTCTAGCTGCTGCTGTGTTGTTCTAGCTGCTGCTGTGTTGTTCTGGCTGCTGCTGTGTTGTTCTGGCTGCTGCTGTGTTGTTCTGGCTGCTGCTGTGTTGTTCGGGCTGCTGCTGTGTTGTTCTGGCTGCTGCTGTGTTGTTCTAGCTGCTGCTGTGTTGTTCGGGCTGCTGCTGTGTTGTTCTAGCTGCTGCTGTGTTGTTCTGGCTGCTGCTGTGTTGTTCTGGCTGCTGCTGTGTTGTTCTAGCTGCTGCTGTGTTGTTCGGGCTGCTGCTGTTTTTTTTTTTTATCGATCACCGGCTGTGAATTCCAGTGGAAGGTCCCGGTTAATCGTCCGCTTGGACTTTTGGCTTTCACCTGGACCTGATTTTTGCGTGTACAACCGTTTTTCATTTCCCTGCCTCATGGGCAGCTGTACTCCGACTTCGAAGGAAGACGTCAGGCCTATTTCTAGGTTGACTGTGGCCATTGTTTTGTGTGGGTCGAGACGTTGCCTGATTTGTGTGGTGTCCACTTTGTCTCCTCCGCAGGTATTGCCCTCGGAGTACCCCTTTGGGGCAGCCCCCTGTGGAACAGTTAGCCCTCAAGGGAAGGCAGGGGCAGATCATGGGCATTCCCCGTCATCCAAGGAGGCTTCCATGCATGCAGAGCCGGCACAGGGCGCTCTGGTTCTGGGCTCACCCAAGGAATCGTCACGTCCTGCACATGCCTGCCTAACCTCACAACCGTATCAGGCCTCCCGCTCGACAGGGGCTGCGCCCTCTGGAAGTCAGCGGCGAGCAGCCTGTGGGTTTTGGACTTTTGTGACCACACAGATAGGTACATTCTTTTTTTTTTCTTCGCACGTTAGATTTCTTTGACGAGCCGTTAGCCCGACAGAATTTTACATCCTGCATCAGGCATATCGTTATCAGTTTTGTCCCAACTCTCGGGCGAGTGGGGTCTTTGGGTGTGGACATTCGGTCTTTTTCAGTTCAATACAAATTTTGATGGTCAGATTTTGATCCGTATGATCTAGTTTTGTCGGACAATTAGGATGGTTGCTGTTGTGGTGTACCACAGCGCGGTGTCGACGACACTGAGGGTTAACCGAGGATGTACATGAGTGGCCAGCCTATGGATGGTTGCTGTTGTGGTGTACCTCAGCGCGGTGACGACGACACTGGGGGTTAACCGAGGATGTACAAGGATGGCCAGCCTATGGATGGTTGCTGTTGTGGTGTACCTCAGCGCGGTGACGACGACACTGAGGGTTAACAGAGGATGTGCAGTGAACAATGTTCTCTTTACTCCGCAGTCTTTTAACCAAGGGTTGTAATTTTGGCTGTACGTTTGGCAAACCTACTCATGTTCCTAATGAGTTTTGATAACATTTTTTCACCCAAGCGTTTGGGGGCGGGCTGATGAAAGCCACAAGGACACATCACCTCTGGGGGCCGCCGAACTCCGAGATCCCCTGACAGCTCTGTTAATGCTCATTTGAGACATTATCCGTGGCGCACGACGAGGACGTGCTGTAGGTGTCTTGCGTGAGGTTCCGTACAACCAGGATAGTTAAGGACTGGCGCCCGAGTGACGTACGGAGTATCTCCTTATACACATCATGTTGGACTTAACTTCCCCTCACGCCTGTGACATAAATCACCGCGCCACGCTGCTGCTGTGTTGTTCTAGCTGCTGCTGTTTTGTTCTAGCTGCTGCTGTTTTGTTCTGGCTGCTGTTGTTTTGTTCTAGCTGCTGCTGTTTTGTTCTAGCTGCTGCTGTTTTGTTCTGGCTGCTGCTGTGTTGTTCTAGCTGCTGCTGTGTTGTTCTAGCTGCTGCTGTGTTGTTCGGGCTGCTGCTGCGTTGTACTAGCTGCTGCTGTGTTGTTCGAGCTGCTGCTGTTTTGTTCTAGCTGCTGCTGTTTTGTTCTAGCTGCTGCTGTTTTGTTCTAGCTGCACATGTATTGTAGTAGTATATTTTTACCTCACCAGGACATCACACAAGCGATAAACACCCGAAGACACAAAGTGCCCACATATGGATGAGGATCACCGTGGAGAGGTTCCAGAAACCGCATTCAGCCATTAGACCATATTTATGGTCGGGCTATATTACTGCCCCTGGCAATAGCCAGAGTAAGGCTTCAAATAACGAAAAATTGCATCTCACAAGGAGATGACTAGATAGCAATTTTACTGCGGATATTGCGTCAAAGTTCATTTATATACGTGTATCCCGAGTGCGTGACTGGAAAGGTTGCTTCTTCTTCTTCTTTTGTCAAAATCTGCTTGTGCCGCTAGGCGTTGCAGTCTATCAGATGATCGGCAACCGAGCCAGGGGGCGCTCAGTCGCTTCATATGCCGTGATGTTATGAAATCTCAAGTTGTCCGTGACTCCTTCAATCCATCTTCTTGAACTCTTAAATCCACTGCCGATTTGCTGGACCTGCACACACAAAAAAAGTATTTATATTCCTGTGTCGCCTGTGTGTTATTGGTGACATTGCATAGGAAATTGTGCGTGTTCATGTGTTGCCCGTATGTTTGGTAAGATATTGCCCCCCCCCCCCCCAAAAAAAAAATTGTTACCTAATGTGGGTGCTTGTGTGCTGATCTTTTACGACTACATTCAGGCGAATTAAACATGCGCTTTAAATTTTGCATTCTGCCTTTGCCAGATTGTCTCAGACAGCATGACCAGGGCCTGCAAATGCCACGGTGTTTCCGGTTCCTGTTCGGTGAAAACCTGTTGGCGATCCCTGCCCACGTTTGATTCCATTGGGGCTGCCTTGAAAGACAGATACGCTCTAGCTGTGGAGGTAGGTGATCTACTTAATTGGGTTTTTTGAAGTTGAGCTTTTAAATAAGACCGACATCACAGCACTGGAAAATTCCCTTAAGCGCTCCGTCCCTCTCTTCAATAACCAACACAGAGTTCTGACCATGATTGTTCCAGTAGCAATCTGATTGTATGCTCGTCTTGATTTTGGTATGAATGTAGGTAACTCCCCACTACACCATTCTCTCCATACCGTGATGATCTGTCTGTTCTTCAGCACTGTTCCGTCGCTCTCGGAGGGCCTTGACCACATCTAGCCAGATATGCATCAGTTTATCAGCAACCACTCTGTCTGCCTGTTTATTTCCCACCATACATGAATGACCTGGAGAACAATATCAAAAGGACGCTAACCACCTGGAGTGACCGAAGCGATGCTTGCCACTCTGCATGGAGCAAACGACTCTGCGCCTTTCTCTGCATAGCCTCTGATTCTGTTGCAATCAGTGTGCGGCTGATTCTCGAGAGTGCGAAAGGTTGCAATGACTGCCTCTACTTCTATTCTCAGACTAGAGACAGAGAAAGGCAAAGAGGAGGAAGATTATGTAAATTACAGTTGATTTTGCAAATATTTCTTCTTCTTGTTCTTCTTCTTCTTCTTCTTCTTCTTCTTCTTCTTCTTCTTCTTCTTCTTCTTCTTCTTCTTCTTCTTCTTCTTCTTCTTCTTCTTCTTCTTCTTCTTCTTCTCTAATGTTTTTTTGTACAGTACTATGAGAGTAGCACCTTGAAGGAGATATTTTTTTCAAAAGAGCAGTGGGTCTTCTGTAGTCAGCCTTCATTGCAAAGGCGGCACATAGATTTTTGAAACACACTGACCATTCCATGTATTATATGCGGAAAACTCCCCATACGGGTTCCATGGAGCCATAGGGGGGAAAAGGAGGCGGAGGGGAAGAAGGAGAGAACAGACCAGCTGTCTTCTAACAAACATGTAAAAGACATTTCATGAAGGATTTGCTAAAATCAGATTTACTGGGCCGAACGTACATATATCACCGCCTAGCTATAAACTACAATACGGTGAGAAAACCTTTTTAAGGACAACTCAGAAGAAGAAGAAGAAGAAGAAGAAGAAGAAGAAGAAGAAGAAGAAGAAGAAGAAGAAGAAGAAGAAGTAGAAAAAGAAAAGGAAAAGGAAAAGGAAAAGGAAAAGGAAAAAGAAAAAGAAGAAGAGAAGAAAAAGAAAAAGAAAAAGAAAAAGAAGAATACATGCTCAGAAGAATCACCTTCTAGTTGTTGGTACCATTCGTTCTGTAAATCGCACCTGATCCCCTTGTATTGCGAACATAAAGCCAGTAAATGCACTTGTCTGATGAATGTATGCAGGTGAAGCGGAAGAGAATCAAGAAGGAGAAAGTACTAGTACCTATACATAAAGGGAAAACCAATTTCCGGACAGACGAGCTAGTGTACTATGAGAAAAGCCCGGATTACTGCAGTCCAGATGTAAAAACAGGATCAGTCGGGACAGTAGGAAGGTGAGCATTAAGTATAATGTTTTGTGTACAATCAAATCCGCCTCTAAATCGGTTGTGTGTCTAATGTGAATCATGATAGATGCAACATCACTCAGTGCAATGTAAACAAATTAGGTTGCTTTATTAATATCCTACCCCAGATGACGCGACAGGGCAGTCCAACATTTTAGAGGATGGTGAGACCGGGTTTCCAGGCTTTCTGATGCTTTTAACGACCCCAAAACATCTCGAACTGGCCCTAACCCCACCTCACCTACGTCCCACGATAGAGTGCAGCATTGGTCCCACGATTGAATGCAGCCTATCTACCACCCCCTGAAATATTAGATTGTCTCGTGACCTGTGGATTTCCCCTGTTTGGGGGGTAGGATATTAATAAAACACAGAATGTTTGGTGTACAACATATCCGTCTATGATCCGATCGTGTGCCTAATGCGAATCATGATAGAAGCATCATCATTCAGTAAAATATAACCATATTAGTATTTCATGTTCCCCGTGTGGGTTCCGGGGCCCCATTGTGGGGGAAAACAAGAAAACGCCTGCCCAAAAGCATGTCGTAAGAGTCGAATAATTAGGAGCTTCCTCCTAATGGGCAGAAAACCACGTCTGCATGCAAATGAATCAGACCTGTGAAACGGATCTACACGCAACACTCAGGTTCTGGAACAAGACTGGAGTCCAGAAGTGGATGAACAGCCAGAACTTTCCGTCGGAGTTTGCAGCTGGTGAAGGCAAAGAATACGCAGAAAAAGTATTTCATGTGAGTTACCATGAAAGAGGGAGCCGCTGTGATATAGCAGCTCACGCTGGCATGTAGATCCGGTCTTATCTAAATGGGCACCTGGGAGAGTCATGGAAACTTCTAAGCGGCCTGTGTGATGGCGACCATATCACTACCCCGAATGCTGATTGGTCTATAAAATATACGTCTAGCCCTCTATGCCCCATACGCCCGAAAGCGTGGAAAAAGACCTTTACTTTTACTTCATAAGTAAGATACTAACAGTCTGAATACAAATTAGTCAAATCTGTCAAACGGACGCACACGCCACACTCAAGTTCTGGGACAGGACTGCAATCCAGAAGTGGACGAACAACCAGAACTTTCCGCCAGAGTTTACAGCTGGTGAACACGAAGAAGAAGAAGATATCCATCTTAGTATTTTATGTAACGTGTATCGTGAAAGAAGTAATAAAACTTAGTGTGGGATAAAAATTACAATAACTCCTGCAGGGGTATCATGATAGAAGGATCTACACTCAGTGTAAGACTACTATCTAAATATTCAAAAGGGGTATCATGATAGAAGGATCTACACTCAGTGTAAGATAACTATCTAAATATTCAAAAGGGGTATCATGATAGAAGGATCTACACTCAGTGTAAGATAACTATCTAAATATTCAAAAGGGGTATCATGATAGAAGGATCTACACTCAGTGTAAGATAACCATCTAAATATTCAAAAGGGGTATCATGATAGAAGGATCTACACTCAGTGTAAGATTACTATCTAAATATTCAAAAGGGGTATCATGATAGAAGGATCTACACTCAGTGTAAGATTACCATCTAAATATTCAAAAGGGGTATCATGATAGAAGGATCTACACTCAGTGTAAGATAACCATCTAAATATTCAAAAGGGGTATCATGATAGAAGGATCTACACTCAGTGTAAGATAAGCATCTAAATATTCAAAAGGAGTATCATGATAGAAGGATCTACACTCAGTGTAAGATAACCATCTAAATATTCAAAAGGGTTGTCATGATAGAAGGATCTATACTCAGTGTAAGATAACCATCTGAATATTTAAAAGGGGTAAAACGATAGAAGGATCTACACTCAGTGTAAGATAACTAAAGATTCAAAAGGGGTGTCATGATAGAAGGATCTAGTGTAAGATAACCATCTAGTTATTCAAAGGGGGTGTCATGATAGAAGGATCTAGTGTAAGATAACCATCTAATTATTCAAAAGGGGTATCATAATAGAAGGATCTACACTCAGTGTAAGATAACTATCTAAATATTCAAAAGGAGTATGATAGAAGGATCCACACTCAGTGTAAGATAACCATCTAAATATTCAAAAGGGGTATCATGATAGAAGGATCTACTCTCAGTGTAAGATAACCATCTAAATATTCAAAAGGGGTATCATGATAGAAGGATCTACACTCAGTGTAAGATAACCATCTAAATATTCAAAAGGGGTATCATGATAGAAGGATCTACTCTCAGTGTAAGATAAACATCTAAATTTGCAAAAGGGGTATCATGATAGAAGGATCTACTCTCAGTGTAAGATAACCATCTAAATATTCAAAAGGGGTATCATGATAGAAGGATCTATACTCAGTGTAAGATAACCATCTAAATATTCAAAAGGGGTATCACGATAGAAGGATCTACTCTCAGTGTAAGATAACCATCTAAATATTCAAAAGGGGTATCATGATAGAAGGATCTACACTCAGTGTAAGATAAGCATCTAAATATTCAAAAGGGGTATCAAGCGGAAAGTTCTGGTTGTTTATCAACTTTTGGACTGCAGCTTTGTTCCAGAACCTGAGTGTTGCGTGTGCATCCGTTTTACAGATCTGAATCATTTGTATACAGACTGCTGGTTCCTTGCCCCTCAGGCAAATGCATTCCGACTTTGAATGAAGCTTCAAATTAGTCGACTCTTACGACATGTTTTTGGGTAGGGTAGTAGGTCTATTCTTGTTTTTTCTATAACAGGGCCCTGGAACTGACTGACTGACTTTCTACCCCACCAGGACATCACACAAGCGACAAACACCCGATGACACAAAGTGCCACCATGCGGATGAGGATCACCGTGGAGAGGTCCCAGAAACCGCGTTCAGGCAATTGGCCATATTGATGGCCTGCCTATATTGCGGCCCCTGGCAAAAGCCAGAGTGGAGCTTCAAATAACAAAAAATTACGTCCTTAAGTAAGGAATAAACCTCGAACCCACACAGGGACATAGGCATACGTAGACAGACGGACAACAATTTTGAAACACAATATTTTCCCGTAATGAATTGAAATAATGCGGATATAAACAATACATTGCACAATTTTATTGCCGGACAAACGAGGTGCAGCGAAATATGCCCGGTATTGTATTGGTTATATCCACATTATTTATACACAAATATGCCACTGATAGAAAACTGATAAATGTAACCCTTGCATCCATCTAAACCCACAGGTTGTGTGAAGCTGACAGCAGAGGGCCTGGCAACTGCGACTCCATGTGCTGCGGGCGGGGCCACGACAACTTCACCATGGAGGTGACAGAACGCTGTGAATGCAAATATTACTGGTGCTGCTACGTCAAGTGCAACACCTGCGTTAGGGTACTACACCTCAACCAGTGTCGATAGCACCGGCTTGTGTCACGTGATTCGTTGTCAAGGAAATACGGAAACATCCGGAGATATCTGCGTCATTTTGCCGGAATCACCCAGTGTGGTTCATTTACATACATCCTTGTCAGCAAACGACACTGCTTCCTTGGCTGTATGAAAGTGCTCTGAAACATTGTCGGAATCAACATGCTATCTGTGAAATATGACAAATTTGGTAGCGTCCATGTCAAATTATTAGCGGAGGCATGAACATATCTAGGACTATCATCATTGTTCACACTAACGTGCTATTTTTCGTTGCATGAAAACTGAACATTTGTTATTTCAGTCCGCAAATTGTGAACGATGCAGATAATATGATATTCATTTGAACCAGTGTGTTACCTGGGATTCAAGGAGTCTGGTCGAGACACTTTAACATTATCAGCATGCCCAACACTTAAACAGTCATACACTCCGAACATTGTAACAAAAATATTGACAACTTTATAAACACTCAGATATATAAACACCTTTCAGAACATTGTAACATTGACAACATTTTGACCACTCAGACATAAAAACGCCTTTCTGAACATTATAACAATAATAAGGTTCTAAAAACACTAGCATAAGCAACATTCTGAACAAATAACATTCTCAACAAAGATAAATAAGTCATTCTCGCAACTGTATAATTCTTTGTAAAAAGGCATCTTGAACTTTATCCATCCTGCATCTATTATTACACTGGAAGTAACACAACGCCAACATTTATGAAGTCTGTAGCCAGATCCTTATCAACGACTAACGGCTCCCCAAAAAATATGTCTTCAGTGAAAATAACCACACAAAGAGAACTTGTTACCTGAGTCATGTGCTCTTTCAGCACGTTGATAGAAAGAGAGAACTAGATAGCTTCGTGACAGCACTGGATGTAGGTCACACTATTTGATTTTTTTCCCCCCGGCATTATTGGTCGGATTTTGTCATCAGTGCACGATACAGAAAACTGAACAGACTAGTGCCACACTTCGTGGTGAAGAACACTTTCCCAGTGTCGCTGTAACGTCTACCGCTTCTGCTACATTTAGAAGTTTATAAAGTCATCGTATGCAATATACAAGGTGATCACAGTACAGAACTAGTTTAAGGTGATCGTTGATTTGATCATGTTCGAGCCAGTTTTTCTTGGCGATTTTGCACTTTCAAGACTCACCACAAAGAGCAGTACGTACACATTGCCAGATGACTGCAAGCTGAGCCGACCTACTCCCATTAATCGTATTTGGCTTGAATTCGTCGGTGGATTCGATTTGACACAACTTAGCAATAAACCCTGGCATGTTTTATAAGTTCAATGCAATGATGTAGTACATTTATATCTTTAATGCAATGATTGCAGTACAAACAAGTGTGTGCTTCTGATGTGTGCTGCTGATCTTTGGACAAGTTTAACCGTTTGCTAGTTTACGAATGTGACAGAACGTTATTTATTATGATTATTGTGTTGTAAACAAGTCATGTTTAAGGAAGTCAAATTTGATCCAGTCTAATCCTTTTCTTGAAGTATACCACAAATCCGAACAACAAGCAGTGTTTTTTTACCGTGTTTTTTTTTTTTCCCTTCAAAAATGAGACCTGGCCTGCTTGTATTGAGAATAGTCGTAACATAAACCCCACATTACAAATATAGGCTTTAGTTAACATCGTCAGCCAGACGGACTAATTTCGTTCGACCGTTCAAACACAATGGACGCTGTGAGTTGTAAATGTAAGAATGTATTGAAAAATAAAAATGTAATGTTGCTTTTAATTAATTTAAATGTGTGTACATAAAGACTTCACCATTAAGCCCTCATAAAGTACCGGAAGGAAAAAGAGAGAGACAAAGAAAGACTATGTAGAACCATCATCTGAAAGGCTCAGCTATGGGCCTAGCAAACATCCAGGACCTAAAGCAGGTGCCAACGAACCACCAGACATGGAGAGCTATGACCTCTGCCCTATGCGCCGCCCTAGACCCAAGAGAAAAGGCTAACTAACTAACTAACTAACTAACTAACCAACTAACATGAAAATTAGGTTACCCTTTGAAAATATGGTCAGTAGCGTTTCTTGGAGCAAAAATTAAAATAAGACCCGGCTTACTTTCATGGACCCCCGTGTGGGTTCCGGGGTCCCATTGTGGGGAAAACAAGAATAGACCCACTGCCTCCCCAAAAGCATGTCGTAAGAGTCGACTAATTGGGAAGCTTCCTTTGAAGTCGGAGTGCATCTGCCGGAGAGGCAAGGAACCAACAGTCTGTATTCAAGAGAATGAGATCTGTAAAACTGATGCACACGCAACACTCAGGTTCTGGAGCAGGACTGCAGTTCAGTAGTGGACGAGCAACCAGAACCTTCCGCCAGAGTTTACAGCTGGTGAACGTGAAGAAGAAGAAGAAGACTTTCATGGAAACACCGTACGCGAGAACACTGGGATACAGAGCAGAAGGTAGGGCCCGGAAAATAGGTCTCGGTGAAGTCAACAAGGCGGTTTTAGTTGACGTTATATAAAGCTTCATATACTTGCAGTAAACAGAAACTGTATCTGATTCCTCTTTGCGACGCACAAGCAAATAGAACAGCGGGTGAAAAAGAGAACTAGACAGAAAATGTAGAGAAATGAGATCACTGACCCAGACACCACAATCAACCAAATACTTTTTTCTTCTTCTGTTGTATACCATGTTCTGCTTTTCAGCTTTAGGTTTTCAAGAGACATGTATTGAGATCATTGGTGTCTGCTACACTTATGCCGGCCTCAAGTATTTTATCTATCCAAGACTTGCACGGGCGATCTCTAGCTTTACTTACGAAGTGTCTAAGTGATAGGGCTCTACGTGAAGCACTTTGCTGTGATAATGTTGACACATTTCCGAACCATTTGATCTAGTCTCTTGATGAAGTTCAGCACTGGTTCGTCCCCAAATAGTTTCTGATATTGTCTCTTCTGGCCCGGTTTTTTTCTTGTTATATTTAGGAATTCACGTATGCACAGGGTGACCCAGGCTCGAATCCTAATTAGGGCTGATTTTTTTTTTTTTTTTTTTCTGTCGGGGGCAAAAATAAAATCCTAACCTGTGGTGTCCCTAGCGACAGAACTAGCCAAGTCATCCGAAATCCTAAGTTTCAAATACAACCCACTGGAGCATTACAGGTCATCTACGTCAACGAAATTCCCGTTTTTGTGAAATGTCTGTTTTCACTTTTTTTTTCGAGTAGATTTACGCTCAAATTAAACTAGTTTAACTAATTTAAAACACATTTTATTGAATGATATATCATTTTGAAGGTAAAAAAGTGTGCTATTAAAAAATATAACAGTTGTGATTTTTGCAAACAAACATAAATGCATTTACTAAAGTCAAGATGAACAGACATATCAATAACGTGTAGCATTTAAATTCCCCTGTCAGTCGTGGTTTCAAAGACCCCCTGCAAACAAGGCAAAAGTTGTAAATACAGGCAGTAGTAGCAGTTTCTGACAGTTGACCATTATATAGCAATTATATTGCAGCACCCTACAGGTAGACTAAGTAACGTGTTGGCCTGTTTGGCTAAGGGACACTGGGCATTATTTAATAAGTTTACCTGTATTATTTCTGAGGTATTTCCAAATATTTTATTGTCTCAGACTTTCAGTGTTGAACTATCTGGAACATTTATTTAAATAATTACAGTGTAATGTTAGTATACAGGGTGTTTGTAAGGTCTCACTGCACTTTGTACGTAGAGCAAATGTGAAAAACAAAGTGTATGGTGTTTTTAGAGAAACAAATGTGCTGCACAATCAATCGCGAATCATTGTGCAGCGAGTGGCTGTCGTCTGCTTTAGTAATACTTTGCACTCAAATCATAATGCTGTTATCAACGACCGAAATATTTTTCTTTTTTGAACTAGTGTTTCGAAATGGCGGTCGATACACATAGATGGCTGTAGAAGGTATTTGACAATATGAAGAGACGTGTACAGTCATGTTTTGAAGCCCGTTGTGGACATTTCCAAACACATGTTATAAGTATTTTATTGATTCTTTCCAGCTTCCCCAAAACAGCCTTAGACCATAGCAGTACGCTTGCAACTAATTTTATGATTTCTAAACAGATAAATTTGACTAAAAAGCTCAACAAAACGGGGAAGCAGAAAAACGTGAACGAAACAACACAACGTAACATTTCGGCCGGGCAGCCTTTTTTAAACATAAGTGAACTACGCAAACTTATGCAGAGTGTAGTGAGACTACAAACCACCTATTCACATGACAAGAATTGGAATAATTTATCTGTGTAAAATAATGCAACAGGTGCATTATTTTATACACTTTCCTAAAAAAATTTACTTTTCCACCTGTCATTTATCGGCATTTTATTCTTCTTCCTTCTTCTTCTTTGCGTTCACCGCTGTAAACTCTCTAGCGGAAAGTTTTGGTTGTTCGTCCACGTCTGGACTTAAGTCTTGAACCAGGAATATTATTATTACAAATAAACTGTTATATTTATATGCCATTCATCACGTAATGATGGTTATTTTTAAGCACTTAAACAAGGTTTAGATCTTAAGCTTGCCTACCCCATGTCCTCATAAAATAATGTAAGGGCGCTAAGCGGCCCCCTCCCTAAAGTTTTCCCAGTATCGGCTCCCATGACGTGCAGTAAAATGTTCTCTCAGTTTATGTAACTGATTAATGTCTGTTTTTCCCTTTCTCGTCTTTTGGGCCCTGTGTACGTAAGGAGAGTACATCAACGTAAAGTGTGTATATATTTAGTATTACAATTTGTACGCACGTTTTTTTTTAAACTGATGTGTATATACGTAAAGAGGGCTCGGTTTGGTGAACATTTTGGTGTGAATAATAAAAAGAACCTGAAAATGTAAGTGGTTATCGGCGACCGAGTCTCCGATTGGCTGGCCAGTAGACGACTTCGTCGTCAGTCAGGACATTATTTAGGTCTGCTTCTCTTGATCGCATCAACACTGCAAGAGTACTTTT